AGCTCAAAATTCTTTTTGAAGACATTTTAAATGGTATCTGATATTTAAAAAAATATATATATCTGCACATCTAAATGCAGTTGGGAAAATCGGTGAGTATTTGTTGTATGTAGCCCAAATGATGAACTATGTCTCTCGTGCATCATCTTAAGAGGTTAACTTGCATAGAAACTGCACTACAAGCATTTTCCAATGTGAAAAATCCATTTTAAACTTTTTCAGGTAGTAATTTCTGCCATGATTTTTTTTGACACCTAAATATAATCCTTTTCACTCCCATAACAAAAAAGTTCTAAATTCCAAATACAGAACTTTATTTCCTTCTTCTGCAGCAAACAATTTCTCATATTAGAATTCTCACTTTTCCTCATTCATATTCTCATTTTAAAAAAGTTGCTTTATATTTATTAAACCTTGAAATGTCAGGAAAATGAACACATATTTAAGCACCAGACTTAACAAATACATGGAACATTCAACATGAAAGTAATAGATTTTCTATTCAGGCAACAGCACTTCTGCCCCATAAAAAAATATAAAAATTTCAAATTATTTCTACATCAAAGTTATGTTTTGAATGCCATTTAATCTTTGATTTAATACATATTTTTTTAATAATATTTTTTATAAAAATATCTTTTGCTCTTTTTCCCAACAATTCTGAACTACTACTGTGCATTTATCAACCATACACCTTGACAAATAATGCAAGATTAATATATAAATACAAGCAAACAGTCAATTTTTTAATGCACTGCCATTTGACGTGATCATTCGAGCAATGGAATTTTAGATGAGAACAGCTGAACTAAATTACCAACAATAACTCTGCCATAGTCACATGCCTAAAATTAAAAAACAAAATACTAATACTGTAAATCACAATCTAAAACACCTACAATAAAACGATTGTGTATGGGAAAGTCATTGAATAAAACAGACAATATTTCATGAATTTTGCATAAAAGCAGAAATTGTGATAAATTATGAATTTAACATACTGAGAAATGAAGTACAATTTCTTGTGTAATTAGTTAACTTTTTCTTGATTAAATCTATAAGGCTTAAAAAATTATGTATTTTCAATAAACAATGTAGGATAATAAAAATTTTTATCTGCACAATATAGCTACCAAACAACTGTTTTTCTCTCATTCGTGCAATTCATAAGCTGACAAATTTAAGTTCATGAAGGCTAAGATGCTTTAAAATGGTAACACACAGCACTCGTCAAATGTATTCTAGATTATACTATGTTAAAATACAGCTGTGTGATATACAGACTAAAAATCCAGCTATTTTTTCAGGCTGGCTGAACAAATAAACAACAGTGAAGAGAACCAATATATTTTAAAAAGCAGCAATTGAACAGACATTTTTTAAATAATGAAAACTCACATTATTAACATCAAATTTTAGGGGCTTCGGGCACCGTTTAGGGCCTGACCAGAATGGAGCACCAGAACTGGTAACCTGAAATGCAGATTAATTTTTCCTTAAATTTATTAATACATTGATTACTTATATTATAAATATAAACACTTCCACACAAATTACACAGAGAAAGTGACATCTATTTTACCCATAACACCCATACAGACAACAACCATTTACAAGGTTGACGGACACACACACCTCATATGATAATCACTTTACCTGATCTGGAGGGAAATTGTAAAGAAGTTGGCTGATTTGATTATGGTACTGTTCTTCCCAATGCAAACGAGCCCAAGTAACACAGTGTTCAAACAATTCAGGCCGGTCATCTACAATAACTCTTTTAACAGTCTCCAATACTTCCAGCTATATAAGCAGTGTGAAAAGAATGCAGTGTGAAAGAAAGAAAAAATTTATGATTTTCTTTTTTAAATACAGTTTTATGAATAAATAGGAATGCTTACCGGCTGATTACCAGCAAGTTTCAGAGTTCTATCCATGAACGTAGGGTCTCTAAAAAAAAGATTATTATATTATTAAAAAATAAACTTAATTCAAAATTACATACAAATTCTTGAAGTTACACAATTAAAATTCAAAATTCTTTATGAATGATACATACGTGAGGTACAAATAAGCATTTTCAGCTGCTTGCTTGAAAAGTCCTTCAAATTCATCCCTTGCCCACTAACAGAAAAAAAAAAAAATATTTACTTCTACAATCCAATACATATTTTTTGCAAAATCTTCTAAGAAATCTAATCTTCTGATTCTAAATATTAGAATAAAAATTTAATTTTTCAAAAATGAGGTACAGGTCACTCCTCAGAGTCATTAGGTTTATTTTCAGAAGAAATACGAAAAATCAACAATGCCCTCACCAGGATGAAAGATCCAGACCTACTGAGTGCTAGCAAGACATGTTTTATAATTACACTGGAAAAAAAAAATTGGAGTTTTTTAGTTAAAATTTCCTAAGATATATGTGAATTTACATTTTAGAGCATTTTGAAATTCGGTGTATAAGCGAAAATAAAGAAAATTTGGTTTACACACTTTGTTAAAATTACTTGAAAGTATGAACGATGACTTTTTTCCGATCGTGGACAATGAAAAAAGGGAAAGAAAATAGGTTGCTATAAATTAAGAAATTCACCAAGTGGCGCAAACTGAGAAAAAAAAAAGAGGCAACATAAATTTTTTAATTTCTAAATTACAAAATTTAATATCTAGGCATAATTTGAGTTGTAGAATTCAAATATTGGGAAAAAAATTGGTGCTTCATTTCAGAAAAGTTGAATTGTCAAAATACCTATGTTAGAACAATATATATAAATATATGTAGCCTAAATCGCACTTTCGAGACATGGAAAACGCAAGGTGAATTATGTCAACCGGCCTAGTAGAACGGGATAAATAGAACTGTCCCCCCTTTTTTTGTGCAGCATATATTAAGAATATGTTTTTAAACCAAGAAAATATTTATTCGATATATTTTTAGGAACTTAAAAATTTCAGGGTATATCCCGTTGCCCTTGGAGGGTTAATACATTCTTAAACTCACTTTATCATAAATAAAACCCCGATTTATAACACTATTATCAAAGAAAACAAGAATAAAATAAATCCCCAACTTATTTCATTCAACTTATGGTGAAACCACTTATATCTGATAATGCAAGAATGAAATTATCAAAATTTAGGTAATACTGCACACAGCATCATGGCTGGCAATAACTACTGCTCACATGGCCTGGCAGACTGAAATAGATTTATAATGGACAGCAGTGTTGGAACTTTACTGAAGCCTCATTGACGGCAGTGTTGGACATTGCAGTCAATGACGCTTCAGTAAAGTTTATGTTCCAGGAACATGTAAATATGGAACAGGTCAGTTGAAAAAATACCTGGTGAACTAATTGTTAATAATCTGCATGTTCTACTTCGGTCTATATTTAGTGTAAATTTCAGATGCACAGAAATGTTCCTTCAAAGACTTATATTACTCACTAATAGCCAACAGAATATTTCTAACAAAACAAATCCATAAAATTATTCCAATCAAACCTTAAAAAATATTTACATAAAATGTTTTTCTCATACCTGCAAAGTATGTTCAATAGCATTTGGGAAGTTTTTCAAAGTGCATATAGGAATAGATTTCTCAGGTGGATCTTGAGAAGAAGCATATGATTCTGTAAGAAATGGTATCACAACCTAGAAAATAATGATTACATATGGATAAACCCAATGTTAGTGTCAGATCTTAACATATATTCCCAAAGGATATTTTATTGAATAACACTATATTAATTTTTAAAGGCAGATTAGATGTTAAGGAAAATTAAAACTATTTTCAAGGTAAATTAGTGCATTCAAGACAAATATTAATCATGTGATATAATTATGCACTTTCAGATATATTAAGAAATAGAAAAATTCCAAAAAATATTTACCTGCACATTCCCTTTAGTCCCTAATGTTCCAGACTCGAGCAGTGGTTTTCGGTAATATACACATCTCCTGTCCATGTAAGTTCCTTTTAAAAATTAAAAAAATATTAGAAAATGTTAAAACATTTCTGCAGTTTTTTTAAGATTATTATATGCAGCATAATGCAAACAGAACATAAAAGGTAAAAACAACATTACATGTCATCTCACCATTGCCTGAAACTGCTAAAAATAATTCCCCGTTCAAAAGGACTTTGAAAAATTAACTTCTTCAGCAGTATAATTTACTATAAAATTTTAACCCTTTTGGTCCTAATGGGCACATACGTCCCAGAGATTAGATTTCATGTCCTACTGGGCAAATAATACTCATTTTCAAATTTACAGTGTAAGGAATTAGGGAACAAATGCATGACTAAACCTGGCAATACTTTTAGATTGCAAATGGAGCACATACGTTTTTGAGCACCCCAATTACTCGGGTATTGATGTCTTTTTTAGTCCAAAGGGGCTTTGTCCCTGAAGGACTATTGTTTTTGTTTTGCGATTTTGCGTCGGACTCATAAATGTCAGTTCTTTCAACGTTGCACAAATGTTAGAGTCCTGCATTGTATTTGAAGAAATTTAAATAATGAAAAATCTGCATAAATGATTGTCTATTTCTCGCATTGTGATAAAAACAATGTACATAGAGCCATAGAATTTGAATGACGAAATCCTATTGCGAAAAGGGCCATCTGAAATCCCGAATTGTTTTATTATAGATTTTAATTTGTAAAACTTTAACGAATTTTGTTTAAACTCAATGCTTTAAAGGAGAAATGGCAACGTTATTAGAAAAAAAAATACTTTTATATCCAGCTCGCGAGACTGTGTATATCGGAAATCTAAAGATATGCTTAATTTAACATTATTTTGCGATATGCTCTTGAATGAATTTAGGTTTAAGTGCAAAGAACATGATATTAATAAATAAAGGTAACACTCAAAAACGTTAAAAAACGCCCCTTTGGACGTAATTAAATCTGAAACATTTCAGATTTTTTAACGCAAGTACAATTATATTCACCCCATACATAATGCCAAAAATGATTTTGTAAAAATTTTTCGGGGGGGGGGGGGGGGGGAATATGAAATTCTGCGACTTTTCCAGATTTTGACCAACATATTTAAATTCTCTGAGCTTCTGGTCAATTTTTGAATCTTCCGACTTTTCCCAGTAGCGTGGCAACTCTGCTTTCACCATTAACATCTGTCTCATAGAAAACTCCTACACATAATGAACCCTTTTCTCAAGAAATGCTTTCTTCAACATTCCAAAAGGCGACTTCATCAGGGATAGGCCATTGCAAAATATACACTTTGGTCTGAACTGTTCTGTTCTAGGGTGGACTATAGCTTCTGTTTTTGACAGGATAGTCTCATCCAAAACAACCCAAATGTTTCATCCTTTTGTCAATATTAATAAAAGTCTTCAAAGCATATTCATATTAGTTCAACAATCCAATCATAAATGGAAGTATTCATTACATAGCTCAAGGCAAATTATATATACACTTCTTAAATCTGTTTAACTCTCTAACTGCTCAATTTGTGGACAGGAATTGCTTCAAAAAATTGCGTATCGTTTTGCATATTTTCAATCTATATATATTGGAGAACTGAAATATGCATTTTTTCTTTCTAGAAAAGACTTTTTATATAGATTTAGAAGAATAAGTTTTACATGAATCTTTACATTTTTGTGTTTTATCTTGTAAGTTATTGCCTTTCATTAACCATGTAAGGGTTAATGAAAGGCAATAACTCGCTTTAATATGCAGAGATAATTTTTAAGGATAAGCAATTATAAGTTATCAAATTAGGAAACCTTAGTCATTATGAATTTAAATGGCCACTATTACATTTTATTTTTTAACAATATTTAAAAAAAGCCCTATTAAAATCACAATTTAATAAAATTTCACAATTCAAAATACATATAATTTAAGACATTGATTCTTAAACGAGATAAAAAATAATTACACATTAAAAGCTACAAAACATTTTTATTTTTGTAACAACATCACTCAACAAAATATTTACGAATCTTTACTTTGAAGCCTTCCCAAACATTTTGGCTAATTTATATAGATTTCCCTCTCTCTAAGCATCTTTTCTAACAATGAGAAATTTGTCTCAATATGCAAAACAACGTTCGCACTAGTTTCTGCGTGTTTTATTCTCCCAACCTGTCAACTTCTCCACAATGTACCTATGAGGGTTTACTTGATCTGGTAAAAGTTAAAGCCCACCACCCACCGACAGATGTGAAGCAAATTATCGCTATACAAAGGTTTAGATAAGCTTCTTATTTAAAAAGGAACTTAAAACATAAAGGCATGTTCTTATGCTAACAAAGTCAATTACAGCTTGTGGTGATGTAATTACACAAGAGTCAAATTCCAACTAAAAATATGGACTTGTGGTCAAAGATTATACAATTTAATTTCATTTTAAGCTAGCTCAGTAACTTTATCGTCATAACAAATTCAAATGTCGGCAGCAGTAAAGCAAAGACGAATAATTATAAATTATCAGCGATGGCAGGAACTAATAAAGGGAACAAGTGGATAAACTCTTGTCTTACATTCCAAAAACCTAAGTGAACTGTCTAAGTGATATGCATTATGGTAAGAAAATAGAAATGGGAAATTATAGAAAAAGCTGAAATTGTAAACAACTGGGTAAATTACGTAATAACTATACAAAACTTTGAAGAAAAATTTTCTTTTTTTTTTTTTTTTTTATGTATTCAGTTTCTTTCTCCCACATTTCCTTTTAATTTAAAAATTTTTGGATTTAATTAAGGAATCTGTTAATCTATAAAAAAAAACTAAATGCATTTAAAGTGTATAAAAGGCTGCTAATTTTATTTCTTTAGTAACATGAAAATTCAGAAGAAATATGAAATATATTTTTGGTATGGTCCGATTACAGAGCTACTGTGGCATAATTTTTAGAACCGAGCAACAAAATCTAGAAATGGCAAACGTTTACAATTTAGAACAGGCATTGGAAGCAGAAATTAGAAAGACACCAGGCAGCAGAATTTAGAATCCACAGAGATTGCATCAGGTAAGAAAATGTTTAGTGTCAGCCCCATGTATGACGCATTAAGACATATTAGATGAATCTTTTAAATTGTCAGTTTTCAATTTCTTTATTAAGAAAAAACGTCTTTTCTATAATGCCTGTCCATATCTTGTGTAGAGAAAAATGAAGAAAAGAAAATAATTCTAGTATCAGAAGTAAAACATTCAACTATTATGTTTTCATAGTTCTTCTAGACGTTCTCCAAAAAGTAAGAAATTACGTATTAATACCATGGAGACATTTTTCATTTTGTCACATTTTCCTGGGAATCTTCTAGAATCGTGGGTCTATAAATCTTGCCTTCAAATCCTTCTAAACTTTCCAAGCTGCAATGTCTAAAATCCCAAAGAAAAATTACCCCTACCAATTCTGTAACAGCAAATAACCAGAAATATATATATAAAAGAGAGAGAGAGGAGGAAAAAGTGTAAAACTAAATCTATAGAGAAAAATGATGCACATTCTGAGACAATTACATGGGAAAACTCTTGCCATGAAAAAAATTAAAGAATTAATTACATAGCTATTTTGCTATTCCTAAGAATCGTTTCGTAAATTGTGTGTAATAGCATTATACCTTGCTTATTTTTTAGATTCAAAATATTGTATAATAAGTGGCCAAAATTGAACTTTATAATAGTGAAAAATAAAAATGCTTTATTTTAATGTTATTTCTTAGATATAATTACAACAGATTACCATCATTTAAATGAAATTTATCAATGTTACAATGTTCTATAAAAATCGTGGAAATATTCCCAGATCTCTGAATTAAAAATTTTCTATAGAAACTGATCTTAAAATCGCCAAACCGTTTAGTAAAAGAATTCACATCTCCAAAAGTGAAAATTTGTTTAAGAGCTCTTCATTAGACAAAATGAAATAATTTCAAAATGCCTATGTTTCACTTCTTGCTCAGAAACTCTATCCCACCCACCATTTATATATTAGAAATAGGAACAAATTATAACCCATAAATGCATTTACCCATTCAAAAGATAACCATATTTGTCAGCAAATCGCCAAAAATATTCCTCCAAAATGCTGATTCACACTCAAAATGAAAGTAAAAAAAAAAAAAAATTTCAGATGATTAAAACTAAGCACTTTTTTTAAGGACCAAAAATCGATTCCAAAAAACTTAAGGACCATATGAATCCTGTTATCCATCACAGCTGATATTCTTTGCAATGGGGAAATCAAATAGCATGGAACTTCTGTCCCACCAAAGGGCTTACCAGCAGCCAAAAGGTAAAAGTCAGTAAACACTAGTAGTTCAAATGCTGCCGCATGGCCATTTTCATGGTTTTCCTCATGTAACATGTATATGAGCCAAGTTTTCCTTATAAAGTCCTCTATGAAGGCATTCCAGCCCTTATGCAGATAGTCCTCAAGACTTTGCCATAATCTTAGTGTATGCATATGTGTGTGTGTATATATATATATATATATATATATGGATATAGGTGATGCTTTGAAAAATGGTATGGTGAGCACTTAGCAATAAAACAATTTTCAGTCACAGCCAGAGTGGAAATCAGAAGGTACCTGAAATACTAATTGTGCAGATGACTTAACAGAATTGTTGAACTACAAATAGTCGGATAATCGCAGTACAGCTTTATTATTTGATGACTAATCTATTAAGGCATGGCTTCATGATAGGCACAGTGCAATAGGTGCAATCTACACCACAAAATTTTATATGTGCAGTTATGGAACAATGGAAGATACTGGAAAGCAGCAAACAGGAGGTAGATAGATAGGGAAGGGCAAGCAAGAAAGTAAGCTGCCACAATACAATTGGAATATTCCAAATCAGAAACTTTGCTTGAGTTCCAAACGATCATTGGATAAAAGCTCATAGCACTGCAGGTCGCAGCAGGGAAAGAAATTTTTCATCAGCACAGATGTGAAAGAGTGTTGTACTTTTTACATTTTATGTATATTACTGCACTTTAATGGAAAAATTTTCAACATCCGAGTTTCATATAATGAGAATCAACTGCAATTAAAAATTGTTTTAGTTGAAAAAAATACCAAGCTTTATAATACCACATTAATCAACCTTTGTAATCACCATATATTTCATTACAATTTTCATTCATGCTACATTAGATTTTTATTTTTCACAGAATAAAATATGAATATGCATGTGACGAAACTGAATTTTTTAGCTGGTATTACATCTATTTCAAACCGCTATGAACCTGTATTTAAAAGTAAAAATTTCCCCATTATTTTAAATTGAATTCTTTTTGAAAAAAAAGTTACAGGCTTTAAAATGCATAAAACAAATTTTAATTCCTTCAAAAAACATACTTGCATCTATATTATCTAAAGCATTTGCAACTCCATCTAAGCTTTCAAAGAAATCATCATCATAAACCATTTCAGTTTCAGGACCAACTCTGTGTTGATGAGCTTCAACATTCACATCTGGATTCATTTTCAAAACAGCTTTCCCAGCAACAACAGCTTTCATCTCCTGAAGTAAAAAACTTACTTAAGTTGCAAAAATTTAATTCTTACGATAAAATAGCTTTACATATAAATGTTGTAATATTAATTTCTAAATAATTCAGCTAACAATAAATGATATTATCCAGAACTGAAAAGCTTATTTTATGAAATCCTCAGTTACATTAAGTATGCTACCTACTGGACTATTTACATATAAAAAGATAAATGTAAGATACAAGTACAATAAGTTCAATCTGCATGTTTTAAATCTGTGAAAAAGATGTATGAATAAGAGTAGTGCTTCTTCTACTTCGACAAATATGCAATAGCAAAAAACCACAAAAATGTCAAGTTTAAAGTTGAATTCTGCAATTTTTTCAACCCAAAATTGTAAATTCATAATATTCTTGAATGAACAATTCAGCTTTCGTTTGCAGTCAAACTGGGAGATGCAAATACAAAAATACAGCTGTGTATAAAAAATTCCCAGATTAGCTCCGCATTAAGCCAACGACTAGCAATAGAATTGCTCTTGCAGTTTGCTTCAATTTTGATAAGGCTGTTATGTTTCAAAACATTGCTGTATTAACATCAAAGTTGTTATAGCAATGTTTCTATGGCCATATGTGAATGGAATATCACAGTCAGAAAAGTGTTACAATGAGCCAATATGAAACTGCAGAACAGGACAAATTAGACACAGAGACCAAACAAGCTTATGATGAGAGGCAATAAATCATGTGCAATATTCCAATTGCTATGGGTAATTTTAACAGAAAAAATTATGATGATATGTATCATCTGTAAAAATATAGAATGAGTTCAGGAACTTGAGTACGTGGATCATCAACTATACTGCATACAGTGTTGATTTGCCACATAATTCAGTGCAGCTAATCCTAATGCAAAAATTAAACATGCAGTGCATCACTATGGCTGTCCTCCAGTACCCGACTGCTATACACAATGAACATCATGTCAGTGTGCATAGATGTCCGTAAGGATATTGGGAACAATCACGCACCTGTACCATTCAGGATCTTCATCGGTTTTGAATCGGCATGTATAATCTTAAGGTAGAGAGCTTTTTTCGCAGTAAAACAGACCATCACTTTGATTTTTTGAATTTTGAGACCATTTGATTGATCATTTTGAAGAAAATAAGCCGTTGCCTGACAAAGATGACAACAATCATATTTTTAATATCTGTAACCAAGGCTAGATTGCCATTACTATACTTTTACTGCGAAGTTCAGCAACATCTGCCGAAAATAGATCGGTGGCACATGACAGATTGGATTTTCCACAATAACAATTCACTATCACTGAGCATTTTGAGAGTTTCTCACAAACTCTAACATATTATCATTTACACATTTGTCTACTTACCAGATTTAGCTTCTGTTGACTTTTCAACTTTTAAAGGTGCAGCTGAAAAGTCACCATTTTCACACTGCTGTAATTCAGCCCGAATTATGGACTTGCATAACACGATTTTGATGCCACTTTCCAGTAGAGGCAGGAATGCTGGGACCGGCACATTAACAACTATTTTGAAGAAAAATAATGTTCAAACTCAGATAAATAATTTAACAGAGCTAGCCTCAGACACTTTTAATGCACTCTCATAAAACCTGCCTTATGGCTGAATGAAAGGACTTGATAGTGCTGAAATCAAATGATATGAAAGACTGGAATGCTTAATGCACACTGATAAAAACAATGAAAGTGAATAGAAGCAATTACAAAGGCTTTTTTCCCTCCCCTCTTACAGGATTATTCACCAGAAGAGGAGCAAATATGGCAGTCATAGAGGTTAGGATCAATGAGATTGGAAGATTTTAGATTCATAGAGGTTAGGATCAATGAGAAGAAGTTTGAATACAGGCTCTGAAGCCACCTCTACAGCTAACACACTGTGACTAACCACCACAATATACACACATATATACAGTGCTAAAAATTTCGAACAGACAAACTATCTCAGATGTAAAGTATATCCAGACTTTGCTAAATATATATATATATGTGTGTGTGCGCATATTTTTTCCCCGAGAACTTACCAAAGAAATCCATGTCCTGTCTATGTGTGTGTTACCATAATACAACTATATCTTGTCTATGTATCTGTTATACTATTGAACATTTCTTGACTCCCAAAGAAAGTTAAGTGCAGTCTACGAATTCAACACTAGTAATTACTAGAATCACAAGTCTGATTGCTCCTTCTAAAAGCATCATTAATTTAGTCATTTCATTAGCAGTTTCCTACTACACACTATCTGCAATAAATAATGCATACACATACAGCTCAACAGGAAAATTATTCTGCTAAATTAAAAGAGATTATTTTTTAAACTATAACTGGCTTTAGATCTAGTAGAAAGATAAAATGCATTACTAAAGACACACAACTTACGCCCACATCCCATGGCCTAAATAAGAACTGCCTGTTTAAATTAGAACGTTCAATGAGATCCATATCTGTAACTATGATTTTCCCTTCTGGAGAAGAAGCAACTCCCATCATGGACATGTTTTTCAAATGTTCGCAGCCTATTGCTCCAGCACCAACCTGATGTGAAGAAATAAAAATGTACAATTTAATATAAAATTTTTTGTACGAAAATAAATCTGCATTTATGAAATATAAAACATCAATACATTTTAATATTTTACAATGGAAAAAAACTCACCAAAAAGTACTTCAGTTTAGAAAGTTTATTCTGGAAGTCATTTCCAAAAACAGCAATCTGACCATCATAACGTATTCCAAGCTTCAAGGACAACCAAAAAAAAGTTAGAATTTCATACTTAAAAATTTATGAAATTTGATCTAAATTCTGAAAACTTTTTACCGGTTCTGCTAAAGCTTCTTTTACAGTTCCTTCTTCAGGTAGGCATTCTAAAGCGTCAAAGTACAACCACTGAACTATAGGATGAAACTTTCCACTACAAGCCTATGACAAATAATTTCTTTTACTTAAGGGAAAAAAATCAAAGCTATTAAATAAGAAGACAAAATACTAAATGAACTTTTGATTCAAAGCAAAAGCTTTAGTCAACCATCCTAAACACTTTTTTAATTAAAAGATTTTGTTTTCTGTAAGCAGTTTAAAATAGATAGCTGAATACAGGTGATAATAACAGAGGCTTAATTTTTTTTAAGGTTTTAATATTTTCTTAAAAGTTTTTCAATTTCATCAAAAATAGGTTTATTATTATAAATGAAATAAACATACCAATTAAAACATTAATACAAAGACATGTTTTCTGGAATTAATAAGCTACTATCTTGAAAATAAAAATGCAATATAAAAATTCATACATTAAGCTAATGGATGCTTCACAAATTAAATAGTTCTCATACATTAAAGAAAATTAAATTAAAGAAAAATTAAATTAAATTAAAGAAAATTTATAGCTTAAAATTAAACTTAAGTTTATAAACAAGCAAAATACACTCTTGAAGTTGTCACTAGGTTATTCCACAGAAGAGCATTTAAAAAAATATATGGCAGTTAATGCTTAAGAGATGCAACTACAAGAAAATACATAAAGCATGAAAACTAAGCAATTCAAACATTAAACTATGATTAAACAGAATATTACTTTCATGATTTCTTGAGCAGTAATTCCCCCTATTACAGCTTGAATGGGACAAAGTTCTCCTTGACATACATATGCAAACCGTTTCAGAAGATTTTCATCCAGCTCTACAGGATTAGCATTTTTTACATTCAATTCTTTACAAAATGAAAGAAATTCTTCAGCATCACCCTGTAAAACAATAAACAGCATTTAAAAAAAAGAATTCCTGGGATAGAATTAAAACTGATATCAGGAAAGCCTTTTTTAGCACATCATATTTTATATCATAATATGAAAGTTAATGGAAACAGAGGGGTCAAGCCTCTCTTAAGATAAACAACCTCTACTGTCTAAATATTTAAAACAAAATTTTGCTTATAATTTCAAAATCATAAAATGCTGGACCGAAAGCAAAGGGAATAAACATGGGATTCAATTTTTAAGAAAATAAACTTATAAAGATGAATTTTACATTATTGAGAAATCTTAGCTTGATTTAAAGCTAAAAATTTAGTTCTATTTTTGTCAGTAACATTTATAACTTTCCGTTCATTGTATGCACAATCAAAAATTTTTTCCTTAAATAGCAAATATATGCACATGCCTTTTGAAATATTTAAGTAGTACATCTGAAGGAAAAGATCTCTATTAAAGTAGTAGCACACAGAAATTATAACTAAGAAAACCTTTCACATCATCACCGGTCTTACTAACTCTGTTCATCGTTTTGGCATTATTTGTTGTCAAAGTTGGGGTTGGCTGACCATCTGAGGTTTTTTATCACCCTTCTTCCATTTCTTTCCATTATGTTTTGTGCCAAAATTAGCATTTGCCATGAATGTTATCGTACTTTGGTTTCTAAGTACTTGATTACTTCTTTGCAGTCGCACGTTGATCTGTTCAACCAGTTTTGACAACAAGTGACTTTTCCATCTTTGGCATAATGTGATTTGAACTCAAGATATTCGTCATCAGGAAGAATAGATAAGATTCGTGGTGCTAGCAAGTTCTGCGGCAACTTTTCTTTGCCGCTCAACTCTTGCTCACGTTGAAGATCCACCCACAGTGTACGTAAAATGTGCGAGTGATTACACTTTCGTCATTCTCGATCCGAAAGGTAAAAAATTGTTGTAGCTTGACACCTTCTCAAAATTACTTAACAACTCATTCCATATCGCTAGTGCAGAATTACCAAGCATATGGATCAAATTTAACACATTCAGGGATACATTTGTGTGAATAATCACAGCAATGTTCACATTCGCCTTTGCAGCTTCGCTGTACTCGCGTATCGTCTTTTCATTCGCACCTTCTTCCGATGCTTTTTACTCAACAAGGGAATTATCGAAGATGCCCACACAATTGTTGAGCACAAACAAAGAGCACACAGAAATTATAACTAAGAAAATAAGTCATGGGCATTTTTGAAACCTTTCAAGTTTTTTCAACTACACAGTTAATTCCTTTCGTATGTCAAAGAATTTGATATTAAAATTTACATTCAGCTAAATAAAAAAAGAAATGGTACTAAATGCTTTAACGCGTTGCTTGTGATGCCCGAACTGATGCACCAATTTTCGGTTTGGGCAAGGGAAAAATCAGTATTTCAATTCTGTGAAGCCCAAATAGTTTGTCCCAATGAATAATATGTAATTTACCATTTTCCCAATAGATGGTGATAATTTGCAGCAAAAATTTCAGCAATTCTGCACTATTTGTCCCATTTTTGTAATTTTGCAGTTCTTCCCAAATTTCATGCAAACCACATTATTTTCACAAAATCGGAATCAGACAACGATGAATAATACCTTTTAGGCTCTTCATGCTGACATAACAGTATTTCAACAGAAGAGCATGACTATTCAGAAAGTGACGGCGAAAATAAAACTCTTTCATGCCGAACCTGGATGCCACTTAAATTACCTTCCTCCAGCCCCACCAAGAACCACTGCAACAACCATAAGTGGGTACAACAATTGACACTTCTACTTTTATTCAAGAAAAACAATATTTTGACATATTTTTTATGACAACTTGATTCACACGATTAAGGAAGAGACTAATAGATATGCACAACAATGCACTGAAAGGCAATATCTGAAGCCAAAAAGCTAATCAAAGAGGGGAATGCCTAAAAATTACAAAATGAAAATATTTCTGTTTCTCCATGTTTTACAGGATATTATTCAGAAGTCTGATGTCTCATTGTTTTAACTAAAAAAGACATACCTTGAAACTCCCTTCTTTCACCAAGTTATGTCCAACAGATTTCAAATGATAACAAAATATTCAAATTTTGGGAACAATGAAGAAGTCAACCTAGAAACACACCCTAATGCAAAGCTGCACAAAATTTGGCAATTTTCCAGTTTCTCAATGTCAAGTTTTGTTAACTTTACATCCCCGATCGTGATGAAAGCCTGATGCTTCCAATACATGCCTCTAAAAAGATTTTGGTTTAGTATAAAAACATTTATGCTATGGCTACATTTTTCCACACACCATCTACACGAAAAAGGACACAAAGCTCGACAGTGAATATGCATATCTTGGCAAGTCTAGTCATGTATTTATGAGATTGATGAAACTTCTGTTAGGCAAAAGATCATTGTTTGGTCGCAGATAATTATTATACTTCTCTACAGCTACCTGAGGAGCTTGTACAACATTCTACAGACATATACAGAACTGTACAAGCAATCAGGAATGACTTACCACTTGATTAAAAAAATATATAAGAGCTAATAATCAAATAATTGGGGGGGGGAATCATAAAGCTTTCAGATTTTATATTACGCCCAAAGGGGGTCAACACTTTAGAATTTCCAATACACAGTCTTGCGTGCTGGAGATAAAAATATTTTTTTTCCATACAGTGTTGCCATTGCTCGCTTTGAAATTGTTGAGTTTGTTTATTAAAAATTTGTTAAAGTGTTCAAAATATGAAATTGATAATAAAGCAAATTCCAAATTAGAGCTTCCAGATGTCAATATTTGGTGGAAGATTACACTATTCAAAATTTGATGGCTTACCGTTGATTTATAACAATGCGAGAAACATACATACATTTAGGCAGATTCTTCATTACTTAATTTCTTTAAACATAACACAGGGCGATGATATTTGGTGGCGACAATTTGAAAAGTGAACCGACATTTATAGTGAATAAACACAAAATGCCAAAACGAAATCAATAGCCCTTTGACCTAATTAAAAAAAAAAAAAAAAAGACAGACACAGAGAGAGAGAGAAAAGAAAATTAAAATAATACAGAAAGGTGACATTCTGGCTTTCCAGAGTGTGAAAGTCACAGTCCAGAAATGGCTCCAAAGAAAAGTAAATTTCGCTTATTTTTACTTTTCTTCGGTCCATACTGTAGAAATAAGATGGAAGATTCGAAGAAGCAAAAGAAATGGAAACCTAAAGTAGTTGCTGAGTATAACAACATCAGGGGAGATGTTGATAAAGTTGATCAGCACCTTACAGACTATACCCACTGCCAGAAAACGTGGAAAGAAATACTAAGTAAAGATACTTTTCCATCTTCTGGACCAAGTACTTTGGAACTCCTTTATTATTTATCAGTCTTCAGGCAGTGGAAAATGTAATATGAATCACAAAATTTCGATTGTGGAACAAATCATTAGAGATAATAAGCCACAGATTCAGCTGACAGGACCAGGGCATTCTAACACAAACTTGTTGCAACTTATGGGTCGACACTTTCTTGAGCACATCCCACCAATGGAGAAAAAGACTATTCCAACCAGACAATGTTTCCTTTGTTGCCATAAAACTGATGAAAAGGGAAAGAGGATACAATGTACGACTCTATTTATGATGTCTTGAAAATTATGTCATTTATTTTGAGCAAAAACTGATTTAACTTCAAAAATTACTGTAATCCATTTCTAACATTTTGATGATAACAACAAACAAAATTAAAGAGAATTTTTTTTTTTTTTTTTTTTTTTTTTTTTTTTTTTTTAAAGGGAGGGGGCACGTTTTTCTCAAATATATTCCACAGCCAAGTGGTAATGCTTAACAGAATGGCAATGTCTGGTTTTAGATCCATCATTTTTACTAACAATAGGAATATTAACTTTAAGGAAACAGTAATAAGCCTTCAAAGGACATTTTTAAAATTAATTTCTAAAAATGCATTTTAGGATTCATGCATGTTTAATTAAATGAAAATATGGACTTTTTAAGTCATTTAAGGACCACCAACCAAAAATTAATTAAGGACTTCAAACAGAATCGAATAAATCAAAGCAATTATCTTTTCAAAATATATAACTTCAAAATATGAAATTAGCAAATATTAATTCAAAACACCTACTCAAATACAATACTATTTTAAGAATAAAACAGAAGTGCTTCAGACACATGACTATGAAACAACACTTAACATGTTTTCAATTATACCGACCACTAAACACTATTTGCATGAAACAAGTTTGAGAACTAAATTAACTCCCTAAAAGTTTACCATATTTTCAGATATCACTAAACATTATTTGCTTAAAACAAGTTTGAAAATTAAACAAAAAGTTTTAAGATAATTAACATTCAATTGCGAATACAATTTCTTGAAATACTAATTAATAATATTGCATATTTTAAAGCAGATTTAAGTGGAAAACATATTACATGAAAAATGAAATAAAAGTTAATTAAAAATTAATAAATCTAATTATATTAAATTAATAGTCATTAATAAGAATTCATTAATCAAAAGTCCTTACACATTAATATTAATTCATTAATATAATTCACTATTAAAATCTAAGAAACGTCTGCAGTTTAAACTCAAAGTTAAACATAACTACACTTAACAGCCTATGACACTCAAAAATCAGATTTTTTTAAAAACAAGAAACTGGAAGATTTTTCTCAATGACGAAGATGTTTTTTGAATAAAATATAAATTGGGCTTTAACAAAAGTTTCCTGTCACCGAAAATATCATCTGCACTAACAGTTCACGATGGCGTGTTTAATCATATTTTGTCAAACAATTTTTTGGCATTTGAAAGAAAGAGACTTGCTTTAGAACAGTGTTGCAAAATTTGTAAAAAAAGTATCGTTATCATTAGGTACAAAGTGTCTGAAGCATCATTATTTACTTCCAGTTATGGTGCAAAACGTCACCTACAGAATGTCACCAAATCATACATACAGCTTAAGGTACTAATGTTGCATCATATGACGCTGTGAAGGTTTTGTACCGAAACAAGGACTACGACATTCAAAAAGCAGAAAGCTCTGGCCGGAATACTGATGTTGACGATGCTCACTTGCGAGAACTTGTGGAAGATCAGTGTGTGTGTATTTAATTATGGCAAAGCACACTAGGGCTATCTGCCTAAGGGGAGGGATGCCTTCGTGGAGGACTTTTTAAGGGAAACTGGCTCGTATACACGTTACACATGGGGAAAACCCCGAAAACACCCATGCAGCCAGCCCATTCGCGGGATTCGAACCTCGGACCGAACTACCAGTGTTCAGCGACTTTACCGCTCGGCCGCTGGTGGGCTGTGGAAGATCAGTATGCAACTACTCGAGAGCTTACTAAGGAGTTAAATATGAATGCCATGTCCATTAGTTGCACTATGCATCGCGTGAGCTGACTCCTGCAAAGGACAGACGTGTTCGGACCTGTAACATCAGAGTTGCCAGGCTACCTGGAAAACTGGGAAAAGTGAGGGAATTCAAAAATTGACCAAAAAAGACAATTTAAATATTTTAGTCCAAATCTGGAAAAGCCAGACTGTGATCTGTGTTGCTTACTGTGATATAAAAAAGGTATTTTCGCGCTGTCAGAAGCGATCACTCTCTATGCGAATCATATATTACATGAGCTTCATTCGCAGCATCAATCAGATTGTCTTTTAGAAAGGCAAAGCAAGTTTCCAGCATCTTCATTTCCAATAATCTCAAGAATTCAGAGATTCAAATGCACATGTTGAATGAAAGCAAATTCATTCAACATTTTCTAGAGGTGAATTAGACTCTAGAAAGCTTCTAAGCATGAGTTTTTCCAACTCATCTAAGCATGAGTTTTTCCAACTCATGCTTAGTACATACGATGCTGAATTTAAGGACTTAGACACTGAGACTAATGATAACCTAAAAAAGCTAACACATAATTTAGCTGAGCCACCTTCTCATATAAATGATAACACACAGGATGATAAAGTACCGAGCGTTCTCACTATTAGTAGTAGCGACAGCGAAAGATCTAGAAGCCCTTATCAACATACAGGGGTTGGACAAAAATATGGAAACACCTTTAAAAAAACATGTTTCTTTGCTTAATATGGTGTAGGAAACCCGTTGGCATCCAAAACAGCTTGCTGTCTTCTCGGAATGGATAAATACAGTCCCTGTATGTGCCAAGGGAATATTATACCATTCTTCCTGCAAAACGGTGGCAAGTTCAGATAACGATGTTGGCGGTGAATAACGAGAACGTTCCAATGTAGACCACAAAGGTTTGATAATATTCAGGTCTGGTGACTGTGGTGGCCAGGGAAGATGGGACAACTCATCCTGGTGCTCAGAAAACCAGTCCTGGACAATGTGAGCTGTGTGAACAGGGGCTTTGTCGTCTTGGAAGACACCATCGGGAAACAAAGTTTGTACCATGGGATGAACTTGATCGGCCAAAATGTTCACATAAGTCTTGGCAGTCATGTGCCCTGACACAGTTATCATGGGGCTAGCAGAGAACCACGATATGGCTGCCCAAACCATACCCACGTTCGAAGTCTGTTAAATCTGACATAATGCAATGACAACCTCACATAACAGTACTCCGACAACAACTGAACTGTTTAGCACATTTACGAAGTTTTATAGGTGGCGTCAGTAGTCAAAAACACCAGCGCCACCTACATACTTCATTAAAATCAATCTTTCTTTCTTTTCAAACATGCATTTCACAAGGTGTTTCCATATTTTTGTCCATCCACTGTATTTAAAAGAGGATGCTTAGGTGCTAAATTTAACCTGATAAATCTTTACAATACCCTATTTAAAAAGGTCTAGAAATAAAATATATCAGGTAACTCAGTGTTTAAAATAAATATATCTTGCATAATATCTTCTAAAAGTAAATCCCCCCCCAAAATTGTTAAATATAAATCTTCAGAAAAATTTACACACTTGCTTAAAAAGCAATCCTGTCAAAATGAAAATTACATTTTGTATCTTTTCTTTATTTATTTTAAATCTATTCACTTTCTTTAAAGCTGCAAATTAACATAGCAACCAATCTAATAATTATAAATTAAATTTTAACAAAACTTTGAAACAAATCCTCAGGTAATTAGCGTGGTCGCGCGAGTTCCATTTCTGGAAAATACAAAGCAATTATGAGAAATGAACACTGACAAACAGAGGACCCCCCAAAAATTCTATATACATGCAACATATTTTGTTTATTTTTTATTTAATTGTATTCTGTAACATATAAAAAATTTAATTCTAGACATTTATTTCAAAACGTAAGAACTAGAAAATACACTATGTCTTAAACTTTGAAAATTATTACAAAACCTAATTACATAACAATGAAATTCTTTGGTTTCAGATGAATACATTACAATTAAAAAAAAAAAAAAAAAAAAAACTTAGCGACAATAAAAATGTTTACCTCATTCCATGACTTTGGCAGACGACCATTTTTCTGTCTAAAATTATGTACAGCTTGAAATGCTAAATGCAACTGGGGTGGACGATCAAGTTTGGCAAAATCTGTCATAATAAATTCTGGATCAACTATGGCTTCTTTAAAGGATTTCTGCAAATAAAGTTTATCTTGATTAATAAAGTCATTTATACATTTGGAAAAGCTGGATAAAAATATTGTCAATTATCACACATATAAAAATATTGCACTCTTAACCACTTGCGCTAAAATGACGTGCTATGCACATCGAGATGCTTTTGTCTCATACCACTAGCGACATGAACACCACGTCGATGGGAATTTATCGCAAAAATGAAAATAATGTGGTGCAAGCGTCGCCTAACAACGAGATTGTTTATTTCTCAAGTTAAGCTCTGGATTGCACTTGCAGACGCAGAGTGGAAGACACTTTACCACTTGTTACATTGTAGCACATAACCGCGAAGTTTAGTCGTAGCGCAAGTGGTTAAATCCTTAAAGGCATTTGGGTTATACAATTTTGTTTTTAGTAAAAAGAAAAGATCCTATTAGTACAGTAGACTTTATTATCAAAAAGCTTGGAAAATGTCGAATGCTGGATGTGGTGAAAATTCTGTAAACGTGGGTAAAAGATGCAATTCGCAGTAAAACAATCATATGAATGGAAGATACTTCTGGTCTGGAATTATAAAAGCAATCATCTTATTTGTTATCAACTTGAATATCAAAACCATATTTAAGATAATATAAAATTTCAATGGAAAAAATGCATTTCGGATATAAAAGTCTACACATGTCCTATACCTTAAACACACGGAGGTAAAAAATCTTACCCGACCACAAAGCTGGCAGAGATACCCAACACAGGTTTGAAGGAACAAATTGCATTTTATTCTGTTAGACACAAGTTTCTGATACAGCATATAAAAATTTAAATTGCTCATCATAATTCTCCTCTTTATATTGTGCATTATCATTTGTTCATTTCCAAATAAATGTGTATACTGCATAAATTAAACGCACGTTTCTTAGTGATAGGTTCCAATAAATTTTAACACTTTCAGCGCAAGAGACAAGATAACTCGTCCTCTATTCAAGGTTTTTCTGTATTATCGCAGCGTGTCTCACGACTTATTTCATTGACATTTTAGCATTTAGAAAACCTTAATATTTTGTCTTTACAACACTTCTACGAGGTGGTGATAGGAGCACAATTGTTGTGCTTTCACTTTTATTATGTTTCTCGTACGTTCTCTTTCACGTTTTCTTTGTCTTTTACTTCTCATAAGGTTTTCTTTCTCTTTTATCACATTTCTTGTTGAATTTTTTCTTCACTTTTTATTACATTTCTCGTTCTCTTTCATAAATCCTCCGATATGTTGCACATGGAAGGACAACATTACTTGGACATAATAATGGCAACCTCCAGTTAGGTTTTCCAACACAGAGGTAATTTGCACAAAATTCGCCAAGAGACTCATTATCTATGTAAAACATGAACATCAAAGCCATCATTATGTGTAGTACCTTGTTTTGAAAAATATAGTTCAGGGAGATTCTAATCTATGCAATATTTAGGATTTTTATTTTATTATTATATTTCTAAACACATCTATATTAAAATTAGTGTGCATTAGTCTTTGTAACATCATCTCCTGCAGAATGGTGGGGAGTTGAGCTTCAAGAGAGGTACGTGGAAATTCATGGGAAGCCATTTCGACCATTTTCATCTTTGTATGACTTTAATTAGCCGTGATATTAATTAAAAACATGGAAAAACACTAATTTTTGCCTTCACTTTTCTGAGTGGCAACAATCTTGCACACTGGAGATGAAAATCTGCTTTATTTTGAAAAGTGTTACCACTGCGCTCTTTCAAATAGTAAAGTTTCTTAATACAAAATTTCTAAGTTTTACAAAATATGAAATAAAATAAACCAACAATTATAAAATAACTAACGATGTCCATGGCCAGGGATAGAAGAGCTTGGAATTCGATTCTGAGGAAGGCAAGGGCGCATCTTGGGCTGTCTGACCATTGAAGAAGAAGAAGCATATGTATAGATGTCTATGTGTGCGAATATATATTTGAAAATCACAGATTTAAACTAATATTATATCAGTTTTTGTCTTTTTCACATGGAAAGAGACTAATTCCACTTATAAAGTTGGCACTTTCTACGAGATCAGCAAAATAATTACTCTTATATATTTGTTTTCTACCTTTCTTTTATTATAAATATTTGCAAATCCAAAATTTGGCAAGAAAGCAAAATGCGGAAAATATATTAAAAAAATTTAATACACTTTCTAAATTTTGGTTTCTACAGTTTTACAGCATTTACTTTGGGGGAAAAAAAAAAAAAAAAAAAACTTTCATTAAATTAGCATTTACTCTTCACTTCCTACGAGATAATCAATGAATCCTAATAATTAAAATATAGATTCATATGTATCCTTCAACTTTATTCTTAAGAAACTGATTGATAACAGTTTCTTATAAGAATCCTACCTTCTACCTTCGATCAATTAAATATTACTTAATGGCATATCAGTGAAATTGATATACCCTGGTGGTTCTCAAAGGTTCTATTCTATGCTGCAGCTAAATACAACTTCTGTTTTTTCTTTCAAGTGCACACATACAACAAACATATGGGCCAGTTTCACGCGGAAAGTCCTTAACAAATGCCCTCCAGGAGCTGAGCGATAAAAACTGCTGAACACTGCTAGTTCAGTCCGGGATTCGAATAATGGCCAACGGGCTCGCTGAATGCACGTTTTTGACCTTCTCCCCACGTATAACATGCATACGAGCCAGTTCCCCTTAAAATATCTTCCAAGAAGTGTCACTTGCTTTCCATGTAGTGCCTAATGGTGAAGCACATAATAAATAATAATAAACATAGTCCTAAATGATGAAAAACATGCTAAAAAAGCTTTTATGACAAAAATGCAAGAGCAATGAACAATAATGTAAATGAAAGATGATATACTTAGGATATAATGGGGTGAATCAATAAATTTTAAATGAATGAATAAGAGTACCAATGAAAAAGGTAAAGGAAACTAATATTACAAAAATTCAAGGGGATTAGTCAAATGCATAAACACACGCTGTTACACAAAATTTTAACAAAATGAATGCGAATTGGCGATTAGTAAGAGAAACAAATACTAAAACCATCATTTTCGAATATAAATTAAAACCGTTAATCTGTGCATGTAATTCTAAACTAAATTCAGTTTGAAAACAAAAACTGATTAGACTATGTACTAATTTTAGGTATACTTAGGAAGTATTTGCTGCTAAGGCAAATTTTCATTATAACGCAGTGCCAAAAGTTAATATTCTACAGTTCGACAATTACTTTGCTACGAAATCTCACCACCACGTTTCCCTAATTTAGGAAAAAAAGAGAATAAATTTTTGTATATTATTCTTTAGTCTCTTACCTGAAAATTAACAAAGGCGATCTAAAGGAAAGGTTTCAAAATAGTAGTATTTTCCCTTTACAATGGTAGCTTAAAGGGGGACTAAATGCATTTAGATTACCTGTTTTTTTTAAGTGAAACCTTTTGTAGCTCCCTAGTCTTTTAAAAGTTAAGCAAAGAAACTAATTTTCCAAATTGGATGTTTTGTTGCTGCCAATTAAAAAATAATTGTTGTTGCCAATTAAAAAATTCTACTGTACTTGAAAACTACTGTTCCATTCTAGAAAAACATCTGGAAACTGCTCTATAACATAAAAAAATTAAGTTGCTGCCCCTCCCCTCAAAATAATTTTTTAAGCATTTTACTGTTTGCAGTTTAAACAATTAAAAGGCATAAAATATATGAAAGCAAAAGTCATATGTGAATGCTAAACTTATCTGAATACAGTAAATATTTAAAATATTAACTCACAAAATGTATTGTCTTTGGCATGTTAACCTGAGTTGCAACACCTCCCCTAATATAATCGCTGAAATTTGATGTATCACCAATACCAAATGTATATGGACCTAAAAAGGAACATTTAAAAAAATTATGAGAAAAAAACACATGGAATTTAATTTTACTACAAATATTTTTGTAATTCTTAATCTAAAGCATTTAAGACACTGCTTTACACTGAATTGTGCATTAGTGCACAAGTATGCAACAGTCAAATGTTGTATAGTATAATACATAACCAAATAATATTCAATAGTTTTCTAGGCTGCACACGTAAGCATTTCTATGATAAAAATTCAATAAACTTTATTTGATGAATTAAAAAAGAATTATTAATACAATCGAAAATGAACAATTTCGTATTTTTGAACATAAATTCAAAAATTAAGTTATGTGTACTAACCAAATACTTGAACTTTTCTTGGTTCACATCCATTTAGTTCAATCATTCCTTGAACCTCAGAAAAAGTCACATAATCTCCATCTTCAAAGCCGTGCCTAGTCTCTTCTAAACAAGTAACTACAGAATTTTTATCCTACAATAAAATAGATATACTTTTTTTAAAAGGGAAAATTATAATTTCAAAAGTTTCAGTATAGCCTTTGACATTAAAGCTTATTGTGTATATTGAAAGAGCAAGAACTGGAAAAAAATGGATGATATACCAAAGTGAGGACAATATGATTTTAAACCTGCATAAGGCTTTATTAAAGTAAATTAATATGTGAATAAAGCAATAAATTTATAAAAAGCCCTTTGAAGCACCAAAATTAAATACAAAGCAAACTGTTTTGTATCTTCAAATACATATCCACTTATGGATCGAGAAAGACTTATGGTTTAAATTACAAAAAAGTTTCTCCGATTCATATACAAAAAGCGTTTATGAACCTCATAGTTTAAAACTACTGTTGTTGATCTTTCAATTCAAGCATGCTAACACTAAAATTTTAATAGCTATACTCAAAGAAGTTGCACATGGATTTTATTAAAAAAATATGCTTACTTTGCTTACTGAAGCTATCATAGCAGACAAAGGTTGCTCCCCTTTTACATCATGTACTGTAAAATTCTCTCCAAAATCACAAAATACCTGGCTGTGATGTTTAAGGAGGGAAAACTCAATTAAAAATAAAGCGTAAAAGGCAAGCTCAACATTTAGCACAAATATATTTTCAATAATAAAAAGGCATTTCTTAATAATGTAATAAATAATATATATATATATATATATGCAAGATAAAAAAGTGTTAATCAAAATGAAACGGTTAACTAATTCATCCTCTCTGTTTTAAAAATTGCAATAACTTCTCTGGATTGCATAATTTATAGATCATTCCATTTTGCATGGCCTGGGCAGCCAGATGACATAATTATTGGGAACTGAAACTTAACTCAAACCAAAACTTTTCACTCTCTACCCTTCTAGAATATAATTTGCTGTCTTGCTTGCTGTCGCAACAATACCAAAAATCAAATTTTCTTGAATAGGCATGACTATAATACCAAGTGAACTGTGGCTACAAATGTCAATTGAAAATAAAAAATGTAATTACAACTGCCTCGAATGCCAAGTTTCTTAGATATTACTAACTCAACACATTATACTACACAATCAGAATTCTTCCTCTTCAATATGGATCCACGATCTATCCTTTAAATAGCTATTATGCATCAATGCGGCTCTGTCGTTTCCCTGCTATTATTACATATATATACATATTTAATATACACATTAACCAAAAATAAAAGTCGTGACCTATTTCATGCAACTTTGCACACTGAAAGTTTACACAAACACCTACAAACATTTTTACTGCATGTAAATAAGTACACAAAAACTTGTATTTTAAAATACAGAATTGAGAACATTCTGCAATCACTGCAGTATATACAATGTAAAAAGCAAAGAGTGTCACAATTTCAAGTACATAAACAGCAACTTATATAAGTTTAAAAAATTGAAGATCTAGATCTGCAGTGTATCTACCAGAGTGACATATTTGAAGGATCTCGCTATCAACAGAATTTTCCAATCACAAACTATGAAAGCAATGAGAAAAATAGATGTGAAGCAGACTTCAATTTCTTCACAAATTCCAGACAGATGAGAAAAGCTTTGTATGAGGTGGTCGATAAAGCATGACAATCAAACAGAGCTGATGCAATCATAACTTTCATTAAACCAGAAATCATTAAAAATGAAAATGACTACAGTGACATTGGGAGCAATGATTTAGAACAGAGTAATGAAAGTGACTTAATGGTGATTTGTTAATTTAATTCTGACACTGATGAGCTGGATTTCTAAAGTTTTGTATAAATAAATGCAGTTTAATTATAAAATTATGCTTGATTATCTTAGTTATACATTAGTTTTTCATAATATGGTAATTTATGATGATGGGCAAAGTTTACCCAATCTGTAAGAACAATAACTATTGGAAATCAACAAAATTCTTCTTTGGAAAGTTCAAGATGTTTACTTTTTATTTGCATATACATTACTTTTTATAATTATGTTGTAAATATTATAAATGATGATTACTCCAATATGGAAAATAATTACTGATTAAATTAATATTAAGTGTCATGTTCGGAATGCTTTGTATACGGCAGTACCCAAAGTGAACTGATGAAATTTAATATTTTTTTAGTCAATTATCGAATGAGTAAGACGCATATGCGAGAGTGGCTTACCTAGACAAAATTAACAGTAATTAATACTGAACAATATAAATGATACTTAATAAACAACACAAAACACTTTTTCACCAACATAAACTTTTAACATTAAATCTGCTTATATTATAAATTTCACCACAGTCCCTACAAATGGAATCAAAATATAATGTTAGGAGATCCCAGTATACTTTGCTTTGTTCTCAGTTTATTATTCCAAAAAATAATGTGTTGCTCTCTGCAAATAAGATATTCAAGTTTCAAATTATAACAGAGAGTGCAACGATTTAAAAAAATTTTTTTTAGTCATTCAGCAGCAAAGTAAGAGCTTTTTTAATTTAATCAAGATACGGTAAATCTAGCCAAATGAGGTTTTGTGACTGGTTAACTGTTTTTATTTACTTTGTCCAAAAGTAGAATTTCATTCATATGCAGTTCAATATTCATTAACACTGAATGCTTGCTGACATCAACGCTGGTTATAAATTATCAACAATTTCAAAGTATTTGCTCTGAATGAAATTTTGGACAGAGAAATAAAGCAAAACAACAAGACAAGTGACAGCAAAGGACTTTCAGATATGGAAGCAGGAAAAGAAAGAATAGAGAACGATGACCGAGAAAAGAAATGAAGACGTGGATACTGTATACCAGCCAACAATGAAAGCAATAGTGAAGATACCACATCTTTAACATACAAGAAATTAAAGGAACTGTTTAAAAAAAAAGTCTTCGAAATCATCTCATTCTGCAATGGAGGCTGGCCCAAATGAAGAATAGCACAGGATATTTATGAGGCATGAAAAAACTATACTTTTTTATTGAGAAACTTTTGAAGAGTTAAGCAAAAATCACCAGCTTCTTAAAAAATAATTATCAATACTTACTACCAGCAGAGAAAAAAATTCTTTCTCTTTTTCATTTAAATTAACAGCATTTACGTAGAAATCTGTCATCATTGCCAAAGTAAAATAATTTTATTTTTCAAGCAGCAGTTTTGCCATTCAGAAAAGCACAAAATATTTCATTTTTCTTTCATATTTAATGTTCAAATTAATTTCATTTTTCTTTCAAATTTATTGATTAGGTAACTATTTAAAAAGCAAAAAATGCAGTTCATCTCTAGTCGGACCCAGAAATTTCACTAGCTGGACTCTTTTCTGTTTTATATTAACTATTTTAAGCAGCTAGCTATTTAAGCATGTAATAATCTGTACAATCACATTTAGCCATGTTAAAATATCATAACTTTTCAGAAATCTTTTACAAGTCTCAAACACACAGTAATACAATCACACAAATAATGGATATTTCTAAATATTTAGTTATCACATTCCCCCCCCCAAAAAAAAACTAAGGCTTACAGAAGTCTTAAATCTAATTAGAAATTAAATGAAAATCGCACTTACCCAAATAGGCCTTTAGTATCAGCTATGATTAAAGATATGCCATTACTATGCATGAAATCTCCTATACTATATTGTTCTTCTAAGCTAGAATCTGTAAGCACTACAACCTGAAAAAATTTCTTTTTAAACTACAGAACACAAAAATGTATCTTATATAAGAATTATACAGTACAATTTCAAAATTTCACACTTTTCATGAATAATTATTTCCTAAAAATCTAAGTTTTATATTCAAAATACAGGTAATTTTTTATGGTGAAAATTACTTTTCACTTTGATGTCATCCACAAAAATATTCTTAAACTCTTATATTGAAGTAGTCAAAACCTGTTTTAGGAAAACATTTTTTTGTTTTAAACTAATAAAAACAAAAGCTGAATGGATGATTTCAGATCATTATTGTAATTTATATAAAAAGTCTTTGTTCACACCCTCTTCAGCCAGGAAAGAATACTTGGAGAAGGAGATGTTGAAAACTTTCTCAATAGTACTATTATTAAGAAACTAAAAATTACAAAAAAAAAATTTTAAAAAACATTTTTATCGTAAAAAAAAAAAAAAAAAAAAAGACACTTAATCTACAAAACGTGGATTTTGCTTCGAAGAAAGAAACTTCATAATTTGTTCATAGCAATTGCACGAGGCCTTCGTTAAAAAGTTGTGTCTCCTTGTTGTTCAGTAGCAAGATTCTCAACGTACCTGTTTCGCCAAATGATAAGATCCTATAATTATTAATCTAAATAGCATTGTCAATAGAAATTAAATCCCAAGCTTCTGTGTGGCATCGCTGATTAACATAACTGTTAATCCCTGTCAATTTTACTATTTTCATATTTTTTATGTAAACTGCAAATTGCGACTGCATCCGTAGCAAACTCAATATCGTCATCTTTCATGACTAAACGAAAAGTAACACAGGAATCTGTTCAAAAAGTACTTTATATCAGAAAAAGGTGCATTTGCTAGAGCAGAAACATCAGCACTTAGCATGCAAAATCAGTTCATCGTTGACTGGGAATTTATGTAGTAATCATACTCGACAAAGCTTCAGAAGTATTTTTGTTCTTTCTGTCTTTTGTTTATACTTTTGTAGTTGCAGCTCCTATTACCAAATCTTCATCTTTCTTCTGATTTCTGTTTCACCATAAATCACATCATATAGAATTACAAGACAAACACAGACTGGTTTTACAAACTTTGATAAAATGTCTTTAAACAGATCATAAATCATTGATTGCAAAACATGAATTAATGGAATTCTGCTTTGTAGAATTGCGTTAAGAACATCGAATGATGGCAAAATGAATTGTAAAAAAAAAAAAAAAAAAAGCAAAAAGCTTTGTTAAGGTCCGAAGAAAAAAAACATAAATATTCGTTCTTCACAATATAAACTTACAGTAATCGGAAAATGTTTCGTGTGTTGAGCAATTTTTTTATTTTGAGAGAAATTTGTATCAGCTTTACGCTTATATTTTGCAGTATTATTTTGAGAACTGCCAGTTGAATTGCTGAATGATGCAGAAATTACTTTATTTTTCTCAAACCTATTTTTAACAATGGAAGTAGTAACTACATCTCCATTTACTTTAGGTACTTTATAACTTTCAATAGAGCCTTTTATCTTAACTCTCGAAGCATTACTTCTTCTTTAAAAACATGCAAGAAGTGGGTTCCATTGATCGAGGATTCTAGATAAGCATTTTTTAAAGACAGCCAGCGTGTACACACATGTTTCAAAATTTTTCTTATTTCAGTATTATGCAGCTGTTGGAAATGTTTCAATTTTTCCTTTCTTTTAGAACTTCTTTCAAGATAATAATAAATATCAACAATGTGTTCATCCACATTTAATGGTAAAGAAGCTGCCCCTTTTTCAGCTGCTAAATTTAAGAGGTGACAGGTGCACCTCATTATCTGCAAATCTGAATTGCCTTTCTTAAGATGCCTGCAACACCAGTCTTCAAGCCTACCATTACTGGTGCATTATCGGCACCAAGTGCTAAGCAATTATCCAGAGGGACTGCATTTTCTTTTAAAGTTTTAATAATTAGCTGTGCTATATTAAAGCCTGTCGAATGTCCTTCTAAAGTGGGGACAGAAAAGTAAACTGCACTCAATTTCTGAAGACTCTGGATTAAAAAAAGAAACAACAATTGGATACAGTTTTGAATCGGTATTATTGCTTCCATCCGTAGAGAGGCAGAACGGAGCTGTTTTAATGCAATCAATAACTGAAGATTTATTTTTCAAACCCATTTCTTTAACAATTGCACCTGTTTTGGTCCTTGCACTTGAGTATTTCTTAGCGATTTCACTATCGGGAAAACATTTTTCTAAATAAAATAAAGCTGCAGCGTGATCCGATGCATTCAGTGGCAGGTTGTGCTCCAGTAAAAAAGGCAGAGAACAGACATTCTGCATTAATCACTTTTTGGTCTTTTGTTTCCGAAGAAAAATTTAATTTTTCGTTTTTTTCAAAACAACTCATGTTGTCCTTGTGTTTTTGTGTACGCACATGTTTGAGAACATCTGCCCTTCCACCATGCGAAATCGAAAAATTGCAACGACAGATGGTACACATCACAAATTTATTACATTTCATTGAAGAAATAATGGAAGGAAAGTCAACTGTGTACGATTTTTGAAACGTGCACGAGTATTTCACCTTTCTCGCAGATATAACAAAAGACGATAATTTCTAAAACTATTTCCCAAAGGCACGTGTACTCACACAACTCAGGACAAGATGAACGAAATAACGAAAGAACATCCAAATAACGGCCCAACGGCCAAAGAATCTTCTTTGCAATGGCCTTGAGCTTGCTTTGTGCTCATTGGCTAATATATGCCAGATGACACGCAGTGGAGCTCGATGCCCATTGGAGAACTGGAGAACGACGTTTCTGGATACGTATGCTGTCACTCATAAAGCAGAAATTCTCATCTGATTCGCAAGGTTTTATTTTAGATATAATCTGGAGAAAATTCAGTTGCTTTCAGACGTCCAAAATCACTTTTTTTTTTTTTGGTTCATATAACGAAGTATTAAGCCAAGTTCTATAAAAATCGTGAGAAATATTAAGAATAAGAAAAAGTCGGGAGAAATATATTGTAAATCGGGTTGGCGGGAGAGCGGTCGAAAATCGGGAGTCTCCCGCCTAAATCGTTAGAGTTGGCAACTATGGAGATGTGAAAAAGAAAGGAGCGGACACTAGTTTGAGCGCTCTACTGTAATGAAAATGTATTTTAAAGTATTTCTAAATTGTAATCTGTACATAGTTGTATATAAAGAAAAATATTTCGAGCAGGTTTTGTTTATTTGGAGGAGATACGACTATGGTACAACTGGTGGCAGCGGCAGTGGGATTTTAAAAGGCCCACTAGTCAAACGAAGAAGTAATGCTTCAATTCTACACAGTTGAGTAAAATCCTCTTGATTCTATGAGGTTTGCTGTTTCGAATCATCGTGATTCAATGAAGTTTTGACAGCACCCTCGTGATTCTGTGCAGTTTAGAAATCTGCTCAAGTTCTGATTTTTATCTATAAGAGTTGACAGACCAAAATCATCCTGATTTTCACGTCGTACAATTCACCGATTCCAGTTTCTTTCATCAAAAATCATACCAATTTTATTTCTTCATTAGGTCTAAGTGATATTTTAGAGAACCACCACGGTTCCGCACAACGAGTTTTCTTCATCAAAAATCATCCAAATTTTGTGTTGTAATTTTTCTAATTCCAGTTTCTTCGACAGATCTAAGTGATAGTTTAGAGAACTGCCACGGCTCTGCACAACACGTTTTCTTCATCAAAAATCATCCTGATTTTTATGTTATAAAGTTCCATGTTGTGAAGGAAGAGTCAGCACATTCTACAGAAGTTGATCACGTAAATTCTGTGTTTGTGGGAATCTTGTGATTCTGAAGATCGTGTAGAATAGATATAGTGTCAAAGAATCTTCATCTAACAAGTCATCAAATGGGGTAAGTACCTTGATTTTTACATTAAGGCAGTGACTAAGTAGCTAATTTTGTTATAAGTTGATACATTGTCTTCCTTGCTATGCATTTTAACTCGTATGTACTAGATGTTAATTGTTATGGGGATGAAATAACCTTAGACAAAGACAAGTTCAGACGACGAGTTCTATGCCCAACGCCAAGGGGAATCTTGTGATTCTGAAGATCGTGTAGAATAGATATAGTGTCAGTGAATCTTCATCTAACAAGTCATCAAATGGGGTAAGTACCTTGATTTTTACATTAAGGCAGTGACAAAGTAGCTAATTTTGTTATAAGTTGATACATTGTCTTCCTTGCTATGCATTTTAACTCGTATGTACTAGATGTTAATTGTTATGGGGATGAAATAACCTTAGACAAAGACAAGTTCAGACGACGAGTTCTATGCCCAACGCCAAGGGGAAAAATAAGTAAAGACCAGGAGTAATAATAAGAATTGAATAAAAAGCAAAAAATCGATAATATGACTGAGATGACTAACATACCTGAGCTGCCCGCAGCAAGTAAGGTGCATGTGAAAATCAATACGAATATCACGACAAACAGGAAACAGTCTCTTGCAGCTAGTACTACGCAGGAAGAAAATAATTCTAATAACACGGCTAGCACTAGCAATGATAACAATTTAATGGATACTAACAATAACGAACAACCTACATATCAAATAGTTACTGATAATCAACAAAACCACGGTAGGCGACTTCACTAAAAAGAATAAAATACCACCCATCACAATTAAAGTAAACAGTAATGGATGGAGTAAAACCAGACGCATTTTCAGGGAAAATAATATCGAATTTACACCCCATACAGTAAATGACTATAAAAATTTACACCAAAGATGCTGAAGAATACAGGTTGGCGATCAAACTGCTGAGAGAAGCTAACATCGAGTACCGTTGCTATATCTTACCCGAAGGTAAGGATTTAAAAGTTGTCGTAAGGGAACTTTTGAGAGATGACTACCCAAAAGAAATACAAGACTAATTAGAAGCAAAAACATTACACCATCTCATCAGTAAAACAAATGACACGGGGTAGGAATGCTGAAATTACCAAGCTACCACCTTTTTCTCATTTCTTT